GGAAATCAATGCGGTGGATGAGATACCTGCAGCTACGCCCAGAAATACAGTTGCAGAGGACATCAGCAAGTTGCAGCTACATTTTAGAGACCATGGATATATTTATCTAATTGTTTCTATCGTGTTGTTGACAAACATATTAATTAGCATATTTTACCTTTGTTTCGCAAAGATCAGATATGTCATTCGCAGAAGGCGCCGCCGCAATATGGATTACAGAGAAGGAACAACTATTGAGCTCGTACCAAGTCGGAGTGCGCCATCAGCACCGCAGTACCCGCGTCTACAGCTAAGTGCCTTGGGAGTAATGGCAATCAAATAGACCGACGATGCAGTTCCTGGAAGGCAGAAGCAACCAAAACAGTGAAAACCCAAAAGCCCTCTTAAAGCTTTTTATTGCAGATTCCTAACTGAACAGCAGAAGCCTAACTGCGACGAAACAAAAAACAACGGGGATCACTCCTTTGCTGTTTTGAAGCTATCTACACTCCCGATCTCCCCGACGTCCGATTCTGGCCTAATACTGTCCGTTCCGAAGTGGCCATCAAATCCAGATTCCAAATCCGATTGGTCAACACGAGCTCTCATCCGGATCCATACCCGTACTAGGGGCCACACCAAACGTAGTAAAACTTCGAGTGTGCCCTGTTCCATCCTGCGTATCTGTAACAAAACTGTAGAATACACAGGAAAGGCGCAAAAGCAGTGTGCACAAGTAACTTACGCCTTCTGGCTGGTCTAATTGTAGCAAATCTTCTGTTCATTTCTGACATTTCAAGGGCCTCCCCAAAGGAAAGGTTTGTAATGGCAGTATTCTCAGAAGATTCACTGATGTGCACAAGCAACTTACGCCTTCTGGCTGGTCTAATTGTAGCAAATCTTCTGCTCATTTCTGACATTTCAAGGGCCTCCCCAAAGGAAAGGTTTGTAATGGCAGTATTCTCAGAAGATTCACTGACTTCTTTAAAGCGTCTTGGAGTTACAATTACTTCCCCCCTCTAATTAGAAGCAACCCGAAAAGCCATGCAAGCAACAAAAAGGAAAATTTGTTATGTGTGTGGCACTGAACCCAATAGAAAAAAAATTAACAACACACCTTTAGCTTGTAACGGCGACAGCAAATCAAACCCAAAACCAACGCCACAAGAGTGCCTACGCCACCAGAAACATAGGCAATTATTTTAACCACTGCCACCGGGAACTCAGCGTGAACTATATTCCCGTCTTTATCAATAGTGGTAATGTTCAGTCTGGTAGCGTTGGCCAAAGTATTAATAATGGTGCTCAGGTTAGTTTCCCCAAGATTGGTAGCGGTCTCTTTCTTCGGTTTGGACAGGTCTACAACCTTGCCCTCAACTACCGGGACCCAAGCACTAGCAGAAAAACCAGACCCCTCGGAACCACCTGGGACACAAGAGTGCCTACGCCACCAGAGACATAGGCAATTATCTTAACCACTGCCACCGGGAACTCAGCGTGAACTACGTTCCCGTCTTTATCAATAGCGGTAATGTTCAATCTGGTAGCGTTGGCCAAAGTATTAATAATGGTGCTCAGGTTAGTCTCCCCAAGATCGGTAGCGGTCTCTTTCTTCGGTTTGGACAGGTCTACAACCTTGCCCTCAACTACCAGGACCCAAGCACTAGTAGAAAAACCAGACCCCTCGGAACCACCTGGGTCAGCAGAACTGCTGGGAGAAGTAGAAGAAACCGTACGGGATTTCTCCGTCAAAATTAGCCTCTCCTCGAAAAGCTTCTCCAACAACTGGCGATAGCAGAAAAACCAGACCCCTCGGAACCACCTGGGTCAGCAGAACTGCTGGGAGAAGTAGAAGAAACCGTACGGGATTTCTCCGTCAAAATTAGCCTCTCCTCGAAAAGCTTCTCCAACAACTGGCGATGTTCCTCCAGAAAACCTGGCTCTCTGGGAACCACGGAAGAAGACTTAACCACTTCTTTAATCTGCTTTGTGGTTTGATGACTGGTTTCTATCTCGTTTTCTAAAAATAACAAGAACAGAAAACATAAAAGGCAGTTCAGTTTTACCTCAGTTCAGAAACACTCACTCCTGAAGGAGAAAAAGCAGTTTTTCCAGGGCTGAATTACCCTATCCATGCCTTCCACAGAACCTCTGCAAAAGGTAGGCCCCAGAATGAAAACTTTCTGGAAAGGGAAAACATGAATGTATATAGTACTAATTTTATGTTTAGCATTTTTTATGTATTTATTTTGAGATGAAAATGAGAGACGCAGTCCAGGTCCAACCGAGTACCAAGGAAATCCACCTCATAACCGAAGCAAGGAGCAGCATGGGCTTCGCACATGTCGTTGCATGCCAACTTGCCCCCCACTTCAGCACAGTCAGAACCAAACACCATGTGGTATTTGGACAAGATCTGCAGAAGACAAAACAAAAAGGGAATTGAAATACCAACAAAATGTGGCAACACTTTGTACAATCATATGGCTAAACTGTTGTACCGCTATATGGCAACACTGCCATACTATTATGCCAAAATGTTGTACCCCTATTTGTTATAACTGCAGGTACTTTACTTTACCCCACCTGGCAGCACTGCTAGAGATTGTCGTACCCAGGGCACTCACCAAGATAACAAAGATGGCCGCCCCCAAGAGACAAAAATCCGCGATGCCGCCCATTCCCACAGACGAGAGTTTCAACGCCGCTCCGTTCCGCGCCGCCCGTTTTTTACGACGATCGTCGTCTTATTTCACTTGCCGTCAGCTGAAAAAATTAGAAAAAAATGGGAAATCACATTTAGTGATTACACGGATGAAAAACACTCAAGAATTCACCAGAAATAAGGGGTAAAACACTCAGAATCAAAAGTTATTGAAACTTGATTGAGACTCACTTTTGAGATGTGTACTCTACCAAGCAATCAGACTGAATGAGATTGATTGGTTCTGATACCAGACAGATGTAGGTCATGTGTCAATACATGCCACCACAACCCTGCTCCCCCCCAGATGTGAGGATAGACATTCCTCAGCATCCTGGAAGCAAAATTCCTGGCAAAGGGTTGCCATATGGGAAACTGATGAAAATCATTCAGGCCCAGGCAAATTCCTTGTTCAAACTTATGAGCCAGATGACTCATGATGACTCATGATTCACTTGAAGGGTTTTAATACGAATCTGTAACACTTTGAAAAGATGGAACTTTTCTTTCTTTTTGTCCACGGAGAGTTTGTCATCATAAATTGTGAGTCCTCGAACAGCGTAATAATACCCCGTTCTCGAACTGTGTTTCATATGTGAGATCCACCTAGCAATGCTTTTTAGTTCAAGCACCGGAATGTGTTACTTTTGACCGGTCATTCACATGACTCGGTTATCTTTCTGTTTATTCCGGTCTTGCGCGGTCAGTAACCCTTTCCGCGCATACAGTGTCTATAAAGGAGCGTCCAAACACTCCTTTTGTCGCTCATTGCTGGTCTGGACTGTTGTTGTGCTGCATCAGAAATATATGTATTAAATTGAAAGAGAAGTTGTCTCATTCGCTTTACTCCGGTCATAAGATTAAAGCTTCTCGACAAGGATTATCTCAACAGCTCATTGCTGGTCTGGACTGTTGTTGTGCTGCATCAGAAATATATGTATTAAATTGAAAGAGAAGTTGTCTCATTCGCTTTACTCCGGTCATAAGATTAAAGCTTCTCGACAAGGATTATCTCAACAAGTAATCATTGGGTAAAACTTAAAGATCTGAAAACAAGAAGACGTTCTTGTCCAGTTTCTTATAAGGTTTTATTTACACCCGACAGTTTGGGATAACAATATATAGTTATGAATACTCTCTCTGAATGGGACAAATATCTTGGTCAAAAATCAACCTATTGTAATTGACTCTTTAAATCAGCAAGAAAAATACTGTACCACATCTGATGCATAACTTTAAAAACATGACCAAGGTACAGTTTATTACACTGTTTCTAATGACTGCTCCAAGTCATGGTTGTGAATCTCCCAGAAAGAAAGAAAAAACTTATTCCAAGAATTCAACAGGAAGTTACTCAACAGAGAAACACCCGACCTTCGAAAATATTCCTCCATCCCGTTTTGCAAACATATATTGCCTCACACAGCGTCAGAAAAAATCCCAGAAACGGTTTTTCGCCTCAAAAAAGGTTGTTTTTTTCTTTTCTCACTCGTACCAAACATTCGACGGAAGCCGCATTTTTTCCCCACCCCTCTCTCATCGTCTTTCAAAGTAAAATTGGCAAAAAAATTCCCGATATACTTTCGCTGAAATACATCCCGCAACACACGACCCGGAAAAATAAAATCATCCCATTGCCGACGACGAAACAGCAATAAAAAGGAAGAACAAATGAAAGACATGTCCATTTCCATCACATTGTCGTCGTCCGTATATTTAAAAAAAAAACGGACTTTTTTCTTTCAATGTTAAAGATCAAAGAATAATAATTACAGCAACATTTATATAGAAACCATTTTCGATGTATCGACTCGAACTGCGTTCACAAAAAAAGAAAAAGGTGTCTTCAAAAATCCGTGTCGTAATCTGGGGGCTTCCAAGGGTGCATCCGGTAGCCGGAAGCCGCGTCGCCGCCGTTCGGGTGGTGGTGGTGGTGGTGGTGATGGGCGCCACCAGGCGAGGCGCCACCTGGGAGTGCCAACGTCGGCTGGTTCCTGTATGGTGAGAACCCAGACCAGTCTGTTCGCCAGCTGTCATAAATGCCCAGTGTGTGACCTTCTGATGCTGCGTAATGTTTTCCTCGTGGCTGCAAATGAGGAAAAAAATAATTAACGCTATTAGATTTTTGCACAAAATTGAACATATCGAAGGGTTGTCCCAAAAATTCGAATGCACTTTTCTGACATTTCGTTGTAAATTAAAACAAACTTTCCTCACCTGAACAACAACATCATTTCTAAAATAAAACTAAAAACATTTACAGTTGAACCTCTGTATAACTCAAGCCTTCCCATGTCAAATTTTTTTCAAATTCCTGGTTTAATTTCCTTTTGGAAATTTAAAACTCTCATAAATGAAAAACGTTTTGCACAGAATGTATAGAAGGGTTGTCCCAAAAATGCGCATATACATTTCTGACAAATAACTGAAAATTAAAACAAATTTTCCTCACCTGAACAACAACAACATTTCTAGAAAAACTAAAAACATTTACAGTTGAACCTGTACAACTCAAACCTTCCCGTGACAAATTTTTTCAAGTCCCTGCTGCAATTTCCCTTTAAAAATAAAAAAGTCCCTACCTGAAAAACTTTTTTGCACAGAATGTATAGAAGGGTTGTCCCAAATATGCGCATACACATTTCTGACATATTGTTGAAAATTAAAAAATAAGTTTCCTTACCTAAACAACAACATTTCTAAAAAATTAAAAACAATTACAGTTGACCCTCTATAACTAAAAACTGCCAGTATCAAATTTTTTCAAGCCCCAGCTTCAATTTTCCTTTAGAAATTAAAAACGTTCCTAACTGAATAACTTTCTTTTTGCACAGAATTGATCATGTATATAGAAGGGTTGTCCCTAAAATGCGCATAAATATTTCTGACATCTTTGAAAATTCAAACAAATTTTCCTTACCTAAACAACAACAACAACAACATTTCTAAAAATTTATAAACAATTACAGCTGAATCTTTATATAACTCAAACCTGCCTACATCGATTTTTTTTTTTCAAGTCCCGGTTTTAATTTCCCTTCAGAAATAGAAAATCTACCCAACTGAAAAGCTTCTCCACTCTCAAACCTCCATAACTCAAATTTTCTTGAAACCTTCTGACAATTATTTTGATAAAAACAGGAATGAAAAAATTGTGTCATCCTGAAAAAATTGCCTTAAAAATTTGAAGAAGATAAATCGCAAATGCTTGAAACATTATATAGGAAAACTGTCATAAATTCGTCTCTTTAACGACATCAGAAATATCCAACTATGCGGGTTATTGGGACAATCCTTCCACAGCACAAAACCTCATAAATCAAATCATGAACCCTTACACATAACTGAGGAAACACAAATCATCATTAATGAAACATCACCGAAAATTTTTCCGAGTTGTAGATGTCACCTGTATAGAAGTCATTCGGATTTGATTACCTCATCAGATCATTAAACTTCCAGACCAGTTCTATAAAGTCGTGAGGGGTACAATATTTATATTACGTAATACTGTGTATTATTTCCACTTCGATGAAACGAAACTGGAATTAAAACAAGAAAAAAAATATGGTGAAACGCTTCTTAAATAACTTCCCATCGGGATCTATTATACGTAAGTGAACAGTCGCACAGAAGAAAGAACTCGTCCAACTCATGATATAATTAGCATCTATTTTTAAAATGGCCCCACGCAATTATAAAATTTGCATAACGCGCGAATTTAAAATTTAATAGATTCCAAGATTTAATTCACTATTAGCGGTACTTTAACAATACACCATTCATTTGCCAGTTTTAATTCGATATACAGTATTTGTAAGATACGATGAATACAACGGAGGCCCCCACATGCGTATATACGCATCAACATAAACAAGATTCGACTTGCGGACACCAGAAAATCAAAACAATCTGCCCAACATCCGGAAGTTGTCTCGAGATACGGACAGTACTTGCATTACAGTATAAGACAAACATAATTTTTTTACATTTTGAAATCTCTCGTCGAACAAATTGAGCTTTTTATTTTCCGGAAAAATAACAATGAATTTCATTAGCAATCAAATTTTAAAAAATTTTAAAAGGCGAATTTCGTGCTTCCGTTTCCAAATTCTTTCCATCTATCATCTGTGCACAGTATACAGGAAGACTTGTGCTTGATCTTGGCTTTTGTGCTCATTTTCACGCCAAAAGATCACATTAAGTGTGGTTTTTCGTTTGGCACATTTACTTTCTTTATCTTCTGAAGTTGATTTTGAAAGTTGAAAAATTTTTCTGAAATGTTTGAGGGAAATTTTTCCTACTGATTGAACAACAGAAGAACCAATTGATATATATTCCCATTGAAGTCTGAGGGAAAACGTGATTTTTCCTCGACACGCGGTTTTTCCTGAATTGAAATTCTATCTCATAAAACTAAAAAAAAAAACGCATCAAGAAAAAGACCCAACGAAATTCGTAACATTTCTTAGATGTTTACATTTCTAAAGCACACGTGTCCCAGTTTACTTAGTTCTTCTACAGCACTTATCCCAGTAAAGTTTGCTCCACTTTTCTCCACATATTCCCCAGCTCTGTGATACGACAAAAACAACGGCAAAATTTCCACCAGAAAGTCTATCACCGGACATGCTTCTCTCAGGAATAAGCAGGCTATAGAAGAATTTTTCCCTTCTCAGAGATAACAGTATATGAACCACAGGGACTGGTTCATAAAGTGTTGAGACTTTTTGAAATATAGATGCAAAAACATAGTTTCAACATTTTTAAAAATTTTCATAGCCCCATCATTTGGCAACACTTCGAGTGCCGTTCAACATAATCTCGGACAATTTTGATGAATTCTTTTCATGGGATAAATCCAACAATCAAAACAGTCCCAAAAATTGAGGTCCATTTCTTGATTGAGTTGATCTTTGATATCCTCAAAATCAATCCCTTTCAGATCATTCTTCAGTGTGGGGAACAGCCAGAAGTCACATAGGGTGCCTATACTGAACTAACAAAACTTGGTTTTTTGGCAATTTTTTGATCATTGGAGCTGTTGGGCAAACACGCCGCGCATACTTTCAGATCATTCTTCAGTGTGGGGAACAGCCAGAAGTCACATAGGGTGCCTATACTGAACTAACAAAACTTGGTTTTTTGGCAATTTTTTGATCATTGGAGCTGTTGGGCAAACACGCCGCGCATTCAATAATTAATATAATATAAATTCTTTGAAATTTATTTAGTAAGGGGGGAGGATTTTTAACAGGAACTGATATATCTTAAGAACTTGACTAATATCCACATTGTTGGTAACTTCCAATTTATATTAAACCTCATATATTCGTCGAGTAGATCTTGTCTAAAGTATCAGTAGTTGACTTGAGTTATTCATTAATTTTTAATTTATCCTTAGCTTCAAGCTGCAAGAAGAGTTTGCTGAGTTGTTCATCAATTTATCTTGTGAAATACATTTATCCTGTTAAACTATGAATTCATACAAGGAATTCCCAGTCCTGTCCCAGACTGATTGCTGTGTTTCATTGCGTTACTTGACTCTTGACATCAACATATTATATATGGTGGTGACCTCTGTCCCCAATAGGAGTTATTGTGTGGAAAAAAACAAACATTCCAATTGTTGGAGAGTATGTTGAAGAGCACTCAAGTGTTGCCAAATGACGGGGACGTGCAAGCAACATTTTTATTATTTTTTTGAATAGTTGAAACTCTGTTGGATATATTTCAAAAAGTCTCAAAATTTATGAACGAACCCCTGGTACGCCCTAGTAAAAAATAAAAAATTTAAAAGCACACACAGGAAAGAAACGGGGGAAAAACACCCACCGGAGCTCTAACCCTGCCAGCAAACCCGGGGTGTGGCTGTTTCCGGTCTCCAAAGTAGGACTCTTCTCCGTCACTGGGG